CCGTCATTCCAGAATCGCTGGAGCACCCTTCTTTCTCTCCTGGGCGACTTAGACCCATTTAGGATCCCCTGGCAGGGCAAAATTAGCCATGGGGTGCGGAGAATCTGCAAGCCCGCGCCCAGTCGCTACCATGCAAAGCCGGAAGTCCCAGCTGTCCAATCTTGAAAACCTCTAATGATGAAGCACCCACAACTTCTGCAGGTAAATTCTCACTGACAGGAAATTTCTCCTTAGTTCTAGGTTGGATTTCTCTTTGATAATTTTCCACCCATTACTTCTTGTCCTGTCCTCAAGTGCTTTGGAGAATAAGTTGACTCCCTTTTCCCTGTGACAGGCCCTCATGTACTGGAAGACTGCTATCATATCATCTCTAGTCATTCTCTTTGTTAGATTAGACATATCTAGTTTCCTCATTCAGCATATGATTTAGTCTCCAGACTTCTTATATCATCTTTATTGCTGTTCTCTGCACTCTTTCTAGGTTCTCAACATTTTTTGTATCATGGCGACCAACATTGTATGCAATATTCCAAGTGTGGTTTCACCGGTGCAATATAACACGGTATTATCACTTCCTGTAAGTTGGAAACTCTCACTCTGTTGATGCAATTTAGGACTGAATTAGGTTTTTTGGGGGGGCAACTGCAGCACACTGCTGGCTCATATTTAAGTGGTGGCCTATTAGGACACCTAGATCCCACTGTTGAGCAAGATACAACCTATTCTTATATCTGTGCATTTGGTTTTTCTTGTCTATGTGTAGGACCTTACTTTGTCCACTAGGACACCTAGATCCATCTCACAGTTACTGCTGTTGAGACACATATACCGTAACTTATTCTATACCTGTGTATGCCTAAATGTAAGAACTTATTTTTCTCATTACTGAATTGCATTTTGTTGGATAGGACCCAATGTTCAAGTCTGTCAAACTCCTTCTGGATCTTGAGCCTATCTTCTATAAAGTATTTGGTAAATAATTATTATTATATGCTTTAACTTGCTGTGGGAAAACATCTAAGTACAAGTCTCCATTCATCATTAACTATAATAATTCGAGCCATAAACAAGATCAAATCCAATGCAAAAAATGATAGAATGTTTTGACAGCTTTGCCAGGACAATAATGAAGATTTTATTACGTTACTTTTGCACACACAGAAGTTCGGTGGCTGTCGAAGGGTACATCTTTGGCTCGTTTTGTAGCATTATATGATTGTGTCATACAATTTTTTGAAAGTAATAATGAGACCAATCTGTGTGAACAGTTAAAAACAGTAAAGAATGATGCCTTTTATTTGGCAGATATTTTCAAGAGATTTCATGATGTCAATTTGCACCTTCAAGGAGCTAATAAAACTCTTATAGGTTGCCAAAGTATTGTGTCATTATTTATTGACAAACTTGAACTACTTTGTTATAATCTATTGAAGAGAGAATTTCATCAGTTTCCTGAATTATCATCTATAAAAGATGATGTAACTCCAGAGGATATTGACAGATTCAGTAGCCTCCTCAACGAACTTAAATTGGACATGGAAAAACGATTTGAAGATATTTTGAAAATGAAGGTGTATGACTGGATGAAAAATCCTTTTACCGCAAATATTGAAGAGGCTGATACAACTTGCCAAGAAGAACTGTTAGAAATTAGATATGATGAAGAAAGTAAACATAAATTTGATAGTGGTGGATATGAAAACCTATGGCAAGTAAAAAAATGCCTGTCTTATATCCAAATATGTGGAAAATGATATTCAGTTTATTGATACCTTTCCCTACCTCATATCTTGTGGAATCAGGCTTTAATGCTGTTAATCATATTATGACCAAAGAAAGAAACGCCTGAATATTTCCGAAAGAGGAGACCTTTGTTTGTTCCTTACAAAAATTGAGCCAGATATCCAGTATTTAGTTTCGCAGCATCAGCCTCAGGGATCTCATTAATAATTTAATTAATTAAATGTAATTTCATCAGACTTCATGCTTCTATGTATGCAAAGTATAAATAAAAAGATAGATTTAACTACAGTAAGTTGTTTTATAAAGATTTATTCTGCCAAACCTAACAAAAGTACGACATAAAGTATTTGGTAAGTAATTATTATTATATGCTTTAACTTGCTGTTACTCTGCTTTATAAATTTTATAAAGTAAAGTTACTTCCCTACTTTATAAATCGCCATTACTGTGGAACCGGTGGGCGGTTGGAAATTTTTACTACTAACAGAGATACAAAAGTGGGCAGTAGATATAAAAAGGTTGACTACCCCTGATCATGACAATCACTCAGATGTTTTGGCAAACTATTAAATGATGTTTTTGCATCTCTTATCAATAAAGCGAAGAATGGACACTTTTTGTTGACTTTTGACTTTTGTTGTTTCTGCCATGTTTTCCATGATTTCATGTTAGCAAAAATGAAGATGATTGCGAGTTGGATCCAAACTGTTTTGTGAGGAATCGGGGGATGGTGGAAACACTGATGGTGTGGAGGTGATCTGAATGATCTGTAAAAAGAAAGGAGAATTGAGGAAAAAGCAAATTCTTTCTAAGAAATAATACAGGAAATCGTTCTGCTTAATCCTAATTAACAGGACTAACATCAACATCTGAAGAAGGCTTTGAAGTTCTCCTAGGAGAAGACAGATGTTAGGAAGAGGGCACTCTATCGAGTGTGTTACAGACATCATCGATTCTCCTTCCTGCATTCCATATTAGGAAAAAAATGACTGATTTAAGATAAGAACAACTCTGAGTGGTGCTTGGTGCTCTCTCACCTTGGTTGCTCTCTTGCAGACATCTCATTACCCAAACTATGTAACCTCATCAGTGCTTGTAAGGAGTAGCGTTTGTTCTCAGTTTATGTTCTAGTGCACGGGTGTCAATCTTGCCGCGTCACGTGACGTGTTGCAACATATTGCCACCACATGATGCAACTGGCCCGCGGGCTGGCAGTTTGACACCCCTGTTCTAGTGGCTTGCCCTGTCCATGTTGGGGGGAATGGTCATGGGGATTCTTTTGTTTGGCTGTTTACTGTTAGCTTGTTTGTAAGTTCTTTGGTTATGGTATTGTTTACTTCTTGATTGTTGGTCTGATGTTAATCTTGAAGTTAATCCTATGCTCAGATGGGTGCTGGTGGGGTGCTGGTGGGGGGGTGGTATTTTTGTTCCTTTTGTGGCTTATTGATTGTCTCTTTTGTACAGTATGTAGATATTGTTTATGTCTATATATCTATTAATGACTAATTTGTGTGCCAGGCTTCTAAAAAGTCTGTATTAAATTAAAGAGCATGTCTGAATGTTACTTGGTGTTCATAGATGCATTCTACCAGTCTTTTGCTTGTTTGTCCTACATAGAGGCTGTTGCAGTTATTACACTGTATGTTGTCGGATGACTCCTGTTTTTTCTTCTGAGGCTGCTGGGTCTTTCTGTTTATGTAGGATGTTTTGGAAGGCTTTAGTTGGCTTATGTGCTACCCTGATTCCATATGGTTGGTGGTTTCTGAGATGTTTTTGATGTATGGCAGTGTTATTCTTGTGTCAGAAGATATGATGAAAACTCTTTAACTTCACAATATATGGACAGACTTAACCATAGTTTTCAGTTTGGAAACTGTGACCATCTTTTGTTGTTGTTGTTGTTAGTTGCGAAGTTGTGTCCAACCATTGCGACCCCATGGACAACGTTCCTCCAGGCCTTCCTGTCCTCTACCATCTCCTGGAGTCCATTTAAGGTCACGCCTACTGCTTCAGTGACTCCATCCAGCCACCTCATTCTCTGTCATTCCTTTCTTCTATTGCCCTCAATCTTTCCCAGCATTAGGCCCTTCTCCAGTGAGTTCTTCCTTCTCATTAGGTGGCCAAAGTACTTGAGTTTCAACTTCAGGATCTGGCCTTCTAAAGAGCAATCAGGGTTGATCTCCTCTAGGACTGACCGGTTTGATTGCCTGGCAGTCCAGGGGACTCACAGGAGTCTTCTCCAGCACCATAGTTCAAAGGCCTCAATTCTTTTGCGCTCAGCCTTTCTTATGGTCCAACTTTCACAGCCATACATTGCACCTGGGAAAACCATGGCCTTGACTATACGTACTTTTGTTGGCAGGGTGATGTCTCTGCTTTTTAGTATGTGGTCTGGATTTGCCATAGCTTTCCTCCCCAGGAGCAAGCGTCTTTTAATTTCTTGGCTGCAGTCCCCATCTGTGGTGATCTTGGAGCCCAGGAAGATAAAATCTGTCACTACCTCCATTTCTTCCCCATCTATTTGCCAGGAGAGGGCCGGATGCCATGATCTTGGTTTTCTTAATGTTGAGTTTCAAACCAACTTTTGCACTCTCCTTCTTCACCCGCATCAAGAGGCTCTTTGTTCCTCTTCACTTTCTGCCATTAGAGTGGTACCATCTGCATATCTTAGGTTGTTGATATTTCTCTTGGCAATCTTAATTCCAACTTTTGATTCATCTAGCCCTGCCTTTCTCATGATGTGCTCTGCACATAAGTTAAATAGGCAGGGTGACCAAGTCAAGTCCAAAAATGCTAGAGAATTTCCAGAAACCTTTCTCTTTCTCATTTATATTCTATTTCTTTGTTTGCGTGTATATGTATATGTATGTATCTGCAAATGAACAGTTTTGGCAATCTGCTGCTTCCTCCAGATTTACCCACAAGCATTTCAGGGAATGTCAACCAAATTCCTCCACTAAAATAATGTAGGAGATGACCAGGCTGTGCCCGAGAGAGGAGTCAAGTATGTCATCAGTTTGGAGTCCTTTGCACCCACAAAAAATCTAAATCCAGCCTTTCTTGAATTCTGTTGACTCTTATCTACCAGCAATTTGCCTTGATCATTAGTAGTTCAGATTCTTGTTTAAAGATATCATGGAATAAACTTGTAGTCATTTGAACAACTCTGGTTCCTGATTTCTTATGCCTGACAAATAAAATACTAACAGTTAGGTACTCATTTTGAATTTAGCTTTTATTTCAAAGTAGCAACTTACTATTCATTCAGGATTGCATTAAGATATAGGAGATTGTGCCATATTGAGAACAAGAAATCCCATGATTTCAAATAGCAATTGTCCATTCTTCTTTGAGCAACAAATGTTCTCCCGCAATAATAATAATCTAAAAAATAAATATTTAGTTAATTGTACATAGGATAAAATTTCAGTTTGGATTCATGTGCTTGATTTCTGCTCTGGTCCGGTTATAAGAAGACTACTAAAACTATGATCATTATTTTTCTTAATAATGAGGTTTATACTAGAACTTCAGCATGTTTGTTGGCAAACCTTCCCACATTCATGCTATATTTACCTAAGCATATAAAGCATGTAGGTTGTTACAACAAAGGTTTGTATAATTTTAGGTGGCATGTTGTTTGATTGCTATAAATGAATGATAGTTTTTAGGAGATCTGTCAGTGATGACACAAATGAAGAGATACACAATAATTGAAACTATTAGTTCAGTAGTTAATTGTAACAAGTCATTAAAACACACTAATGTACAATACGGAAGTATGCATACAAACTTCTTTCTGTTGTTCATGGGCATCTACGTATGGGGTGCAAGTGACATCACATAAGTCATGATGTCATCCTGCAAATGACATGAATGGTGTACCTTATATCATTTCTGTGATTACAAGTTACATGATCCACATAATTTACCAGTTATTTTATGATACACCAGACATGTCAAACACAAGGCCCAGGGGCCGGATGCGGCCCGCAAAGTGGTTTCATGTGGCTCATCCTGGAAACAGTGAGGGAACAGCCCCCGCTGCCTTGGCCCTGACCCAGGCCAGCTGGGAGGGAGCCAATGTACAGTTTTGTGGTTGCCATTTATGCTGAAAGACATCCAGTCTTAGCTCCATGAGGCCGTCTGGAAACAGCAAGGAACCAGCCCCTGCCGTGTCGGCCCCGCCCCCTGGGTGCATGCTGGGAAGGTGTCACCCTTTGTGAGGAATGAAGAAATGCACCATCGCCTGGAAGTGGCCAGCAAATGGCCCTGGCCTACTTCACATATCCAGCTTGATGGGCTCTGTGGGAGGGGTTTTGACAGGCAGCGGGGCACTCTCCTCACAGCATCGAGAGGCTGAGCTGGGTGGCGTGAATCTGATGAGAAATGCAATGCTGCCTAGCCCCCAGCCTGCTCAGTTTCAGCAGGCAGCAAGGTGCAAAGCTGGTGAGCTTCACACCGCCCGGCTCAACTTCTCACCCATTGGAGATTTAGCTCATCCCAGGGAAATGGTGTTAAGTTATAGTACAAATATAGGGTACTTATGTAAATAAATTTGGGGTGATAATATTAACTTACCAGACTGACTCATAATGAATAGCTGGACTCCAGAAGTGACTAGTTTCCTGAGGCCATTCTTGTTGCGCTTATCATTAGGACTGAACAGTTGAGCTACTTTTATCTTCAAAGTTACATTAGGATGCTTCTTCAAGAATTCAATGATGAACTGGCTACAAATACCACAAGGGCTCCAACTAAGATACCAAATGATATGGCATCTTGTTGTATTCTGCTGCAGTATCTCTTCATGTTTATCCAAAGCATTGATTTCTGCATGTTGGGAAAAGCTATTGGTACACCAGTGCCTCCATATTTTGTGACTTCCCCACTGAATTTCATAAAGAATATAAGTTGTTTCTGGACGTCCTTTGGGTGCATAATTCTCCCAAAAATCCTTTGATTCTATTTGCCATCCTAAGTACAAATGTGAGATTGAAATTGTTACATGTTTCTGTTGCAAGTTGTACAAATAAAAATAAACTATACTGAAGGATGTCCAAAGTTTTTTCTTCCTTCTTTTAGATCCAGACTACAAAACTAGGGAAAGGGTTTAAAGTCTCGCCCTTTTCCTGTCCTTCTTTGTAGAGGGAAGATTTAGGGGATGCTTGCATTGCTTGCCCCTTATAAGACTCATTCAGATCCAAACCTTTAGCGCAGAAAACACTACAATAAAAATACATACTCCTATAATGATTAATAAAACTGAAAAGTAGACATATAACAGAATAAAATTCCCTAAAATAGATTAATATAGTAACAATAATTCAAATAACAGATAACAAATCACCGAAATTTGTAAACTTCAGTTGCAGGTAGGACAGAATCCCTGCAGGGTTTGACTTTCAAAAAGGGGTCAGCTGCACCAAAGTCCCATCCAGTCCTTGGCTGGCAGCAAAGTATGTCAGCATCAGTTGTGCTACCACCAGTAATGATCCCTTTTATTGCACAACAGAAATAAGGCTGGAAGCAATGCTGTCCTTACACAGCAATTTTGGGCTATGTCTTTGTTTCCCTTCCACCAAATAACACTTGCCGGTGAAAAGCAACCACCAATCCTCCTTAACATGGGTGGTCAGATGAGTGTAGGTAGCTACCTAGATTGATTGATGGAGCCCCTATCAAGATATTAAACTAACAGGTTGCAAGTGTGGAAAGATTTCACTCCTGTCACCTGCCAGTCAAGCTGCTTTAGAACACAGAGCCCTTAATGGATCTACAGAGGGGTTTTCTTTTACCTTTTCTTGCCGGCATCTGTGGCTCCATCCGCTCGTAACAACAATTCCCAGAGTAGTTTCTTTTATTGTGTATGCTGGTATATATGAAAGGAAACGATTTCAGTTTCTATTCCTCAGAATTAGAAACTGTTTCTCCAGCACTGCAAATTAATTTCGGATCACACCCACATATGACAAGTCAGAATTCCTTGTTGGTAAGTAACCTAGTACAGTGGTTGTTATTGCTATTATTTTGTCCACATGTAAAATATATTTATGTATTAAAAAAAAGTCTTAAGCTGATAGAAGTCTGTTGTCTGGTGACTTTAATCATAATGCTAGATTCTGTCACAGCCATTCCCAATCAGATCCTTCAACAGGTTCATTCTTATTATTGTATTAGAACATTATATAGAATATATTATTACAACATTTACACTTTTAATAATACTCTGAAACCATATCTCATTTAAAGTTTTGTTGGCAGGTTACTCATGGAAACAATATAAGTGCAGTTTAAGGATAGCTGTCAAACCTACGAAACTACTTTTGGCCATTTTTCTTCATTTTTTGGTTTGTCACAACTTTGGGGGGAGGGAAATGCATTCTTCTGTTCCAGACAAAACAATAACTTTCTTATGGGAACCAAGGTCAAATCGCTCAAGTGTTTGGTGGGCTAGAATTGCTGTTAGAGAGCCCGCCAAAGGTGTTAATTGGAGAATGTGATTTATTACATATTTAGTGGGTGGGGAGTTTAACTTTTATTTTGTAACCTTTTGGGGGGGGGGACTTGCAGTCTTGGTTTCACCTTTGTTCTTGCTGATATATTTTTTTTAACCAACAAGACAAAACAGAACAAAGCAAAACATAACACACATACACACACCATATATTCTCCTCCTTTTTTTTACAGCAATTACATAACAGTAATCTAACATTTACCTTTCCCCCTTATTCTTCTTTAGAATATTTGTCCTTATAGCCCCATTATTTCTTATTTACATTTTTCTTCCTTCATGTTCTACTTCTTACTAAGGATAATTCATATTATTCTTATTATACATTATTATACACATATTTTCACTTTTGACCGTTCCATATTTATTCTCCTCTATTATTTCTAGTCTCCAACCAGACATACACCTTGTTCCATACTATATAATACTCTGTGTCTTCCTTTTCTTTTATCTCTTTTGTTAATTTGTCCATCTCAGCACAGTCCAGGATTTTTCTTATTACTTCTTCCTCTGATGGTATATTGTTCTTGCTGATATTATGTAGCCATTAAAACTGTTCTTTGAGGAAAGCAAATGCTCATCTATGGTCTCATCTATCAGAACCATGATAATAGCTTCTCCTTAGATAAAAGTGTTCTAAGAAAGGTTAAAGGCCCAAGCAAGCAAATTTCTTGTATGGAATGATGCTGAGGTGTAGAACCAGAAAAGCTGTATAAGAGCTGATTGTAAATGCATATACTGTGCTGGATGGAAGTGATCACTATAGCTGTCCAACTAACAGCTAGCTATCATCACTCTTGGGTGAAAAATAAAGAACTTAATTTCATGCAACTGCCTGCTGTTTCTTTGATGCCAGCTCAGAAAGGAAGATGGTAAGGAATGAAATTCCGACAGTTGGTGACCAGGAATTACACTATGCAAGTTTATATAAAAACAGCTTTAATTTTATCTTGGAGGAGGAGGGAGCTCCTCTGTGCATGTTGCTGGCAAATAATCCAAAGTTAGCTGCCAATTTTGATGTTAATTACAACATACATATGGTCTCATGAAGCAGTTATCAGATGAATGGAAATTAAATATCTATTGAGAAATGTATTTTACTTTTTGATCTAGTGCTAGTAATAAGCTGGCTATTGGAAGTTTTTAAATGAAATATAAACCCTGGTTTTATTGTGTTCTGTTTCCTGCCTTCCTTGATCTCTCCAGCAGCATTTTTAAAAGTGTTTTGTTTCAATTAGCAATTTCCTAGGGCTTCTCACAACAATGGAATGGCCAGAAAACAAACACTGAAACTGGGCATGGCAACTACATTCTGGTTAATTCAGGCGTGTATTTGTTTATATTTCAGCCTATGTAGATGATCAGCAGCTTTTACAGCAGTGGTTCTCAACCTTTTTAATGCCACAACCCCCCAACCGGTCGTAAATCGAGGACTACTCAACCGGTCGTAAGTCGAGGACTACTCAACTGGTGCAGCACCATTTGCAGAATGGGACTTTTGGCAGGCTCATCAGGGCAGAGACAGCCTGGACAATTCCTATTGGCTTTTGAAAGCCAATAGAATTAGACTCTATTCAAGAGAGTCTATTCTATTGGCTTTCAAAAGCCAATAGAATAAAAGGGAGTAGCACAGCTAAGGAAAAGGGGGGGAAAATGGCGGACTGCGTTGTTTGGCGACCCCCGTGAAATGGTCGTTAGACCCCAAATGGGGTCCTGACCCACAGGTTGAGAACCACTGTTTTACAGGAAGTTGTGTCTAAATTAATCTGTATTTCAGTTCCATTTCCCTGTGTCATATACTTTGGAATATGAGAGAACAGCCTTGACTTTCTATGGGACATCCATCCTATGTGTTAGCATATTCTCCCTTGGGCTTCGTGTCTGACGGTGAAGTGTTCCAATTGCTTCAGTTTCTTTTCATAGCACCTAAAATTAGAAGAGTTTGGGAGCATCATTTCAGATTAGCATATTTCATTAAAAGGCAGAAATTTCTTCTCACAAAAGCAAGAAGCAAGACTGCGAAGTTGAAAAACATCTTAGAAACAGACAACAGGAAACCACTTTGTAGAGAAAACTATGGCCATGTAATCCTCAGAAATCAAGTTTAACTTGAGGGAGGTTTTACATTTATCACTCCTGAGAGGAAGCAGAGAAGGAGATGAGGTCTCTTCCCTTGGTCTAGAAAACGTTACCAAATGAGGAGTCTTATTTACTGCATATTACCCAGTCTATTTGGTTGAATTGTTTTGCTGCTGGCTTTCTAGAAAGTGAATGCAGTTCTGAAAGAAAGCATGTGAAGTTTATAGCAATTTCCTCTTCAAAGCTGACTCCTACAGAGGCTGCAACCCCGACAGAAAAGAACTTATTGGAAGAGCACTCATAATAGACAGCTGTCCCTCCACCTGCTGCTGGAAGGCCTGTTGTATGGCACACCATACTAGGACAGAAGAGCAGTGGAGTCCTTCACTGCTGAGGATGAATGTAGTGGACCTCTCATTAGGTCGAAGGGCAAAAGGCGGAGTTATTCTTGCTCCATTGCTTCTAAATCACAGCTAAAAAAAAACCCCACAAGCAAATATAGATTCTTTGCAGTTCAGCTAATTATGCCTGTCTTATATCCAAATATGTGGAAAATGATATTCAGTTTATTGATACCTTTCCCTACCTCATATCTTGTGGAATCAGGCTTTAATGCTGTTAATCATATTATGACCAAAGAAAGAAACTGCCTGAATATTTCCGAAAGAGGAGACCTTTGTTTGTTCCTTACAAAAATTGAACCAGATATCCAGTATTTAGTTTCGCAGCATCAGCCTCAGGGATCTCATTAATAATTTAATTAATTAAATGTAATTTCATCAGACTTCATGCTTCTATGTATGCAAAGTATAAATAAAAAGATAGATTTAACTACAATAAGTTTTTTTATAAAGATTTATTCTGCCAAACTTAGCGAAAGTACGATATAAAGTATTTGGTAAGTAATTATTATTATATGCTTTAACTTGCTGTTACTCTGCTTTATAAATTTTATAAAGTAAAGTTACTTCCCTACTTTATAAATCGCCATTACTGTGGAACCAGTGGGCGGCTGGAAATGTTTACTACTAACAGAGATACAAAAGTGGGCAGTAGGTATAAAAAGGTTGACTACCCCTGACATAGTACATACCAAATGAGCTGGGTTCACGCAACCCCAAGACTATCCCAAAAATAACTAAGTTTAAAAGAAACACATTTAGTGTATTTTGTCAGTGCAGCTGCCCATGTTTGAATACGCCACATCTTGAACATGCTTCGGCATGTTGTGCAAAGTCAGCCAATATATTTCATTTTTAAAACAAAGTTCATTGCATGTTAAAAAAAAGCATCGACTCGTCTGAAAGTCACGCTGGCTGGCTGTATACAAGAAAAGAATAAATATGTACCTTTATTTTAAATCAAGAGAATTTAGCCTTACATTCTGAAGTACTCTGCCCAAGCAAGGTAATTGAATGGCTTTTAAAAAATAAGCTGTTTATGGAAAACGGAGAATTTGTTTGATCAGCAGCTGCTACTGACAGGTTGTGCACTGCAATGTTCTATAGAAAGATCAGTGTATTTATTAAACAAATTTATAGAGCTGTCCAATTCACACATTTGTGGTTCCTGGTGGCTTATATTGTTATTGTTTGGGTTGTATTACACATTCAACCATTGTTTCAAACCTTGATGGACAGCCATCAAGAGTCCTGTAATTTCAATTATCTCATTCCTTATTACACTTATTGTCCAATCCAAAGTAAAACTGAAGAAATAAAATATAATTATACATTAAAAAGTATTTTAATAATAGCACTTCCCCTCGATTCTCAAGTCTACCTGATCATTTAACTTTTAAAATTGTATTAGTTTAGTAGCTAAGGACTACTTAAAATGTATTGTTTCAATTCCTATACCAAGTAGGAGACTGGATCTAATGGCCTATCTTCCCTTACTTACATTTTTTTTATAAATATATCAGAACATGCAAGGTTTTAATGGCCATTTAATATTTTATTTTCCAACGATCTTAGGCTGAAGAAACATATGGAATGAATCTTATTTAAAGTTCTTGGCAAAAACATTGAATATTATTTGGATCAATAAATTCTTTTCAGAATCACTCATCCCTTAGTATTTGGACTACTGCAATACACTCGTACATGAGGTTGTTCTTGAAGACCATTTGGAAGCTGCAATGGGTCCAGTGTCTGCAAGAACAGTTAAGACTTTCCTTTTTTTAATATAATTTTTATTGAAAAATGAAAAAGAGTAACAAGTGAAAGAATGTATGACATGAGCCAGTTTAGTCTAGTGGTTAAGGCACCAGGCTAGAAAATAGGAGATGGTGAGTTCAAGTCCCGCCTTAGCCATGAAAGCCAGCTG